TCTTAAGTTTATGCATTTTCATGGTACATAAGTAAAATTAATATTTTTACGTGATGGGACCAAAATGCAAAATTTTTATTCAGTCAACTTTACTTAATTGTTTAAGTAAAGACAACATTAGGGTTTACAGTGTATACAGCTTAAAGTGACATTTAAATGCTTAACTAGGTTAATTAGGTTAATTAGGCAGGTCAGGGTAATTAGGCAAGTTATTGTATAACGATGGTTTGTTCTGTAGACTATCGAAAAAAAATATAGCTTAAAGGGGCTAATAATTTTGACCTTAAAATGTTTTTTTTTTTTTATTAAAACTGGTTTTCTTCTAGCCAAAATAAACCAAATAAGACTTTCTCCAGAAGAAAAAATATTATCAGACATACTGTGAACATTTATTTTCTCTGTTAAACACCATTTGGAAAATGTAAAAAAAAAAAAAATTCAAAGGGGGGTGAATAATTCTGACTTCAAATTTATGTATTTTTATTACTAATACGGTACATTATCTTGCCATTTTCTGTTTTTATATCTGGGTATAATCTCATTTTTATTTGTTTTACATTACATTCTGCACATTTGTCTTATAAGGCATGTTCAGTTTAAACTGATAATCACATTTGATATCAAATATTGGCAAAACAGTTTGCAGTTTCTATTTACAGTGTGTTTTGCAGTGTTAAGCAATGTAGCCCCAAAAAGAAAATCCAATATGAAAAAGTAAATTTAATGGCCACTCCTTAGGTATATCTGTTCAACGAATCCTTAATGGTAGTATTTTTACTACAGTTAATGCACTGTAGGCTTTAAGTTGTGGTCAAAATGATCTGCTGAAGTTGAAATTAAAAATCTGAATGGAAAAGAAAGCTGATTTAAAGGGCACCTATTTTAACCCCTTTTTCAAGATTTAAGTCTTTTGTGTCTCCAGAATGTGTTTGTAAAGTTTCAGCTTAAAACTCCCATCAGAACATTCATCATACCTTTTAAAAATAAACAAAATTTGAGCTTTTATGGCATTATAGCTGTTTTTGTTGCCTGTGCCTTTAAAGCTGGTTCTCCCTGCCCACCGTTCCCACATCTCATTCCCATGAGCTTTAAGGTTCACGTAGATAAGCAGCACAGTGACAGACAAGAATGAATCAGATCTCCCTTATTACAGTAAGGACTTTATTAGTGGTTATTTGTTATATTTGTTGTGGGGTTAATTCAAACCTTTCTGCCGCAATGAGTAACACAAAATGTTTTTATAAAGTTCATTCGCGAACACAAACACATTTTAGCTTTGCACTGTTTTTGCAAGGCAAATGTGACAGGATACACGTTATTATCCACTGCTGTATGGATATCCGTTATGTTAATGTACAAAATAAACCTGATTTAACGTCCACAAACCAGGATAGAAGCGTCTTCTTTTATAATTGTGCTGATTTGTGGCCGTGGTGATGAATTATGTTGCAATTTTACAAGCATGCACTGTTTTTAAAAATATTTTAAACTTGTAAAACTCATTCTTGATCACATTTGATGATCATTGATGATCACAGAGAGCTGATTCTGTTCTGTCTTGTTGATATGATTATACGAGCTATTACGGAGACATATTTATACTTGTATGTCAATCAATTTGTTTGATGAGGAAACTGCACTCCAACGTCACGTTACGGTGGGTCTCAAAATGGGAGGGATTTGGTCCTATTTTAACGTCAGGAAATTTAAGAGACTTGTTGTTTCTATCACTTCAGGATGACTGTGGACAAACTATACCTACACACAGTTCTGTCCAAACAACTTACAATAAAAGATTTTCATCATAGGTGCCCTTTACGAGACTTTGAAGATGGAACGAGTATTTCAGGAACTGCTCATGTTCTGGAATTTTCATGCACAGCCATCACTAGAGTTGGTCCAAAAAAGAGAAACTAGAGAGTATCATCAAATTAAAGCTTCACCAAAGCGGAACAATAGAGGACTGTGAAAAGGTTTGCCTGAGTCTCTAATGAGTCTTCTTTTCTGTTTGCGAAAGTCAGATAGTAGGGTCAGAATTTGGTGTAAACAACATGAAAGAGTTGATGCATCCTGTCGCATCAATAGTTGAGTCTGCTGGTGGTGTAATGGTGCGGCTATATTTTTTTAGGACACTTTGGGCTCTTTACTACCAACTGAGCATCATTTGCCGCAGCCACAGTTTCTAATCATGTCTGTGTCTTTAAAACCTCAGCGAACCCATCTTGTTATGGCTTCTTCCAGCAGGATAACACATCTTGTCCCAAAACTCAAATCATCTCAGACTGGTTTGTTGAACATGACTGTGAGCTCACTAAACTCAAATGTCCTCTGCCGTCCTCAGATCTCAATATGTTAAAGCATTTTTAAGATGTGCTGGAACTGGAGGTTCCCTTCATGAAGTAAAATCTGGAGCAACTGCCTGAATGTAAATGCATGTGAATCTTTAACTAAAATACAACTTTGAGGAATGTTTCCAGCACATTGTCGATTCATATCAATATGAATAAAGGCAGTTCTGAAGAAAGGGGGAGATTCAGTCTACCAGCAAAGTCATGAATTATCTGAAGAATGTATCTGTTGATTTCTTAAATCAATGGCCAATTACAGCTAAAAAAAAAAATAAAAATTGAGAGTTTTTGTTCAGTGCATGGTCACAAATCCTTTTAATATAATTAAAAAAGTACAGAGGATTTCAAAATTCATTTGAATTGATGACCTAATATGAGCATTTTTTATTGGAGGGCAATTATTAATAATGTTTTATTAATGATTATACACAACGACACCAGTTGTAAGAGCAACAAATAATAACTTCTAGTTGATCATTTGTTAAAGTGGCAGAAGGTAGATTTTTCCGATGAATCATCTGTTGAACTGCATCCCAATCATCACAGATACTGCAGAAGACCTATTGGAACCCGCACGGACCCAAGATTCTCAGAGAAATCAGTCAAGTTTAGTGAAGAAAAAAATCATGGTTTGGTGTTACATTCAGTATGGGGACATGCGAGAGATCTGCAGAGTGGATGGCAACATCAACAGCCTGAGGTATCAAGACATTTGTGCTGCCCATTACATTACAAACCACAGGAGAGGGCAAATTCTGCAGCAAGATAGGACTCCTCATACTTCAGCCTCCACATCAAAGTTCCTGAAAGCAAAGAAGGTCAAGGTGCTCCAGGATTGGCCAATCCAGTCACTAGACATGAACATTTTTGAGCATGTCTGAGGTAAGATAGAGGAGGCGGCATTGAAGATGAATGCATTGAAGAACACTTTCTTTGCCATTCCAGGTGACTTTATTAATAAGTGATTTGAGTCATTGCAGAGATGTATGGATGCAGTCCTCCAAGCTCATGGGAGTCATACACTATATTCATTCTGTTTCCACTCCAGCATGACTTTATATTCTACATTATTTCTGTTAAGTGACAAGACTATTGTCTAAGCAAAGTCAGACATTATTTGTCTAATTAAATAAATGAAAATCAAGACATGATCATATTTTGTTTTGGTAAAATAAGCGTAATCTAGAGGCCTTTGCCTTTCATACAAGCCACTTCTGATACCAAATGATCAACTAGAAGTCAAGTAAATTTTTGTTGTTCCTAAAACTTGGATAGGCGACAAGACTTTTGTTAGGTAGTGTGATATATAATATAAAATTTCTAATATTATTGACCTTATAATGGTTTTAAAATGTTTAACTGCTTTTATTCTAGCCAAAATAAAACAAATAAGACTTTCTACAAAAGAAAAAAAATATATTATAGAAAATACTATGAACATTTCCTTGATCTGTTAAACATCATTTGGACAATATTTACATAGGACAAATCATTTTGATTTCAGCTGCATACTAACAGCATTCATTAAAAAAATAAAAAAGTATTTCCAGCCACGTTTGATCCATTTCAATGTCTTTTTTTTTTAGGGTTTTCTTTTAAAATGTTACTTTATTGAGTTTATGAACAAATAATTGCAGCATTGGTAAGCAGAAGAGTTTTCAAAAACATAAAAACTGTACTGATCCCAAACTTTTAAACGTATTAGTTTTAACCAAATACTAAGGGTGCTTTCACACCTGTGAATCAATTCATTTGTCCTGAAACAGGGATTAAAATTGTTTACATTGTTGCGGTTCGCTTTCACACGGCAAAGTTTCTAAACGGACCAAAATAGCGAAGTCATGTGTGAGTAAACTCTACTCACATTGGTCAGAGCTTCACGGTTTATTTTGCAGAGTTCCGCTTAGCTGTCGAGGGGTGGTGGTTTGACAGTGTGCGCGTGACGTGTCTGAAGAGCGAGGAGGGATGCAGTGGGGAGGGGTGAGAAGGGTGCGCAATAGCTGTATGCCTATTACATATCCATAAAACACTGCTATAACCGCGCTCGGATCGTATCGCTTTCTCACTACAATCGATTCGCTCCAGAATTTGTTTCAATCGACCCGAGACCACCTCATTCAGGCGATCTCTGACCGATTGTTTTGACACGGATCCAAGCGTGATTGCTGGATTCACATATGCCAAACGAACCGCGCTAACTGGGCAAACAAGACAGGCTCCAAAACAAATGTCTAGGTGTGAAAGCACCCTATCATCCCACTAACATTTTACATGAATGTAAACTGAAAAGCATAATTCGTAACACAAAACAAACAAACCAAATGAGGTCTTGACAGAAAGTTACAAAAAGTTTTTAAAGGCCTAGCTTAACTTCGCATTGCCTACTTATTCTGCAACCAGAACGAATCATCTCTTTAAAACAGATTTAAAAAGAGGCAGACAGTTAATCAGAAAAAAAAAATTGTTTTAGGAGGGTTGAGATAAAAATTCTCTAACATTCCCTATGGCTGCAAGCTGCTCAAAGCTGTTGGGTTTAGAATAACTATCGCTCGTGTCAACACAGAACTCCAACCAAAAGCGCCTTTGGCTAGTGCTTGACATCTACCCACAAGAAATCAGTGAACTGTCAAGGCTAAATCAACAGAGAACGGCTGTTAGAAACAACTGCCTTTAATGCGAAGTGATACTGTGCTGCGTTCATTCCCATTCTCAGACAGATCATGAATATTTTAGGACTAATACTCAAACATCAAAAGCAGAGCAGTAGATTTGTAACCCATACAGTGAGATTCAACAAACTCCGAAACACCAAAGCGTTTCGCCTGACAGATACATATGACGCTTAACACAATATACATATAAACAGCCACGTCATTTCAAATATGAGTGTCACTACAAACAAATGTCTAAGGCAAAGAAAGCTACACTTACAGCAGCTCATGAATAAGCTAATGCCAAAGATAATGTGAGTGGCAAAATTAAACTGTGTGCAAATGTTTATGTGTGTAAAGCATGTGGAAAAGAAAAGCCTTTTAGCGTGCGGTTGGAAAGAGCCATTATGCGCTGTAGTTGATTTACATGTTATCTGAAATCCATTTTCGCGTAATGTATGCTGATATAATACATCGATTTATGTGCTTTTGAGATGAGCGGATGAAAGACTTTGGTCCGAAGCAAATAAATATGTATGCCGATATTTTAGGGTGACTTATTGGAGACCGTTTTTTTACAACTCTATCACAGCAGCTGACTAGCACTAGAGTTTGGCACGTGAGTCGTTTCGGTTAAGACAGTCTCTCAGGCCTCTAGTGTGGATGACCGGTGGAGTCTCCCATTCACTCCTGTCCACAATGAAGACATTCACAGTGATTGGCTGGATCGGTGCCAACCATCGCCCGTTAGTTTTCCGTCGCCGTTTCAACCTCTTCGACATCACCAGTGAGCTTCTCACCTGAAATATGAAATACAGTAGGATCAAACATTCGTGTGCATTGAAGTACACATGCAATCAAAACGAACTATATTGATTTTGCTAGCTCATGTTGCTAGCTTAGTGGTGAACGATTCGTCTGTGCATGTCATTAAGCAAAAAATAGTTTACCCTTGTTATCTTTAATTGAAATCTGTACATGCACTTCATGTTTGTTTTCAGTTTAATCATCAGATAATAGCCCCTTTCACACAGTGATACCAGTAAATATCTGGAAAATTTCCGAAACTACTTTACTTGTAGATTCAAAAAAGTGCTGTTCACATAGGCAAGGACGTTCTGGAATTTTTCAGGAAAAGACCATTCACACATCCATTCCAAAATACCGGTAAATTCTGAGATCATAAACCAGAAATGACCTTGTAACCACTGCCCTTGTATTTATAAACAAAGACTGGGTCAGCTTTTGTTGATGGTTTCACTTTTATTTAAAGCTTTAGCATTCATGCAGCTGCTTTTATCCCAGAGACATCCAAAGACAGATGCGCGAACTCCAGCTAAATGTTTACACATTTGACTACATTACAAATTCTGCGGATGGATACCTATTGTGAACAACTTTGATGAAAACATATGAAGGAACACTTTCGCATGTCAAGATCTTCATAATATGTGTGTGTCCTGGTGCTCACTGGTGCACTCCATGTGCACACGTGTCAAGCAACTGAAGCAGAGCTTAAATGTAAACAAACAGCGGTTTATCGTAAGTATTTTATCGATAATTTTTTACACAGTTGGCATTAAGATGGAAGATAGAAGCATTATCTGACTAATATTCAAAGGCTTTTATTTTCATAAACAGAGCGGATGTGAATGTCTCTGAATGTTCTGATTGGCTGGAAGGTGTCTCACGTCAGCGCGTTCTAAGCGTGCACTCACTCTTTCCAGCAATTTTCCTTCTTTGTCCACACAGAGCAGCATTCTGTCAAATTACCAGTAATGATACAACTTCTCTTTCTGGAAAATTCTGGAACGAATTTACCGGTATTTTTAAAAAGGGCCTGTTCACACGTGACCAGGAAAATTTTCCGGAAAATTATCTGCAATTATTAATTACCTTCTGTATGTTTGAAAGGGGCTTATGTCTGTCTGAGATATTAGGCGTGGCTAACATATTTAACCACACCCCTCCTACTGTCAGTTTTGACAACAAACACTAATAACTTTCCTGAAATCCTTTTCTCTATCTTTCTGAATGAAAAAGCTACTTTATTACATCCAATCAGCTCCCAGTAGGAAAAAAAAAACATGCCCACTGATTTGCTTTTTAATATTCTGTTTCTCTAGGAACAGCGTCACAATACGGGAAAAAATATTATTACATCTTCTGGTTTGGGCAAACCTTAAATGCATTTGGATTTAATGATATCTCAAATAATTTTTTCATTTTGAATCATCAATTTGCAAGCAAATTTTTATTTTAAAAATAAATAACATTAATAATAATAATTATAATAATACAAATCTTAACAAAAACAATAGGGTTTCAGCGCTTCGCGCTTGACCCCTAATAATAATCCTGCTGTCTAAAATGTGGAGTCTGACAGTGAAGTGATTTTATAAGGTTACAAAATATTACTATTTCAAACAAATGCTGTTCTTTTGAATTTCCTACTTGACAGATATTTCTGGAAAAAATATTGAAAGCAAAAATATGAAGCAGAGCAACTGTTTTCAACATGGATGATAATAATAATAAAAGCTTCTGAAGCAGCAAATCCTCATCTTAGGATCTTGTAGTAATGAAGTAATGATGCTGAATATTTAGCTTTAAATCATCAAGGATAGTTTACATTTTAGAAATATATATAATTACATAAAAAACTGACAATTTCAAATACTGTATTAATAGTTATTCTTGGGGCGGTTCGGAGGTTCAGTGGTTAGCACTGTCACCTCACAGCAAGAAGGTTGCTGGAGTTTGCATGTTCTCCCCATTTTTGAGTGGGTTTACTCCTGGTGCTCCAGGAAATGGGAGAAAAGAAACTAGAACATTTTCTCTGGATTTGCTAATTGTAGTTATTTTTTGTTTTAAAAAATTGAGTAAACTTTTTGATTAAATGTTGTTTTATTCTGTACGTTTTTTACTAATGGCATTACTACTGAATTTTAAAAACTGAAGTCATTTACAGCATCTTTTCATGAATTAACAAGAATGATCAGGTTGCAGTTTATATTCACTTTTAGACAACACAATACCACTATTTTAACTACAGCAAAGTTATAAAAAACATATTTGGTGGAACAAACCAGATGAATAACCCATTTTTTTGGAGAAAAAAAGCCTCTAAGATTTGTAAATTTGTAAGAAATGTTATTTGTTAAATGTCAAATGGTTAATTTAAACATTAGTTAGTGAGCTTATACATACAGCAGTCAATATTTAAAGTAGATTTTTTTTCCATATCATTGTTAAATAAAAATGTATAATCAATCATTCATTTTCCTTCAGCTTAGTCTCTTTTTCAAGGTCAACTATTCCAGCATGTGTTTTAAACAGTGAATGCCCTTCCAGCCTCAACCCTGTACTGGAAAACACCCATACACTTTCGCATTCACAAATGCACTCATACACTACGGCCAATTTAGTTTAGTAAGTTCACCTATAGTGCATGTCTATAGACATACAGAAATGCCAGTTGGCCCAGCAGGGGCTAAAACCTGTGACCTTCCTGCTGTGAGCCTACAATGCTTACCACTGTGCCACCGTGCCACCAATGTATAATCAACAGAAAACAGCTGTAATATTTCTAGACTAATCTAATAATAGCTATTTCATTAAAGAAATGGGAATAATTTCATAACATTACAACATAGTAATTGACATAAAAATGAAACAATATTTAAAACTAAATAAAAATGATGAGATGAATTCTAAAATTAAGAGGAAAAGGCAGGAGAAAGTAACCCAAAGCGGATGCTGTAATATTTGAGATGGGCTTACATGCAGCCTGTGCCTGTTTGTCTCTGTCATCTGTTGGGCTCAAATCATCAGGAGGCCAGCGTAGTTCACCGCTCTCCACCTCTCCGCTCTCAGTCGGCTCAACCACGATGGACGGCAGCCGCTTGGAGAGCTTCGGGAACCGTTCATGAGAGTCTGGGTAGATCTGAAACATGGAGGTCACAAGAGGCCACGTTACATGACAGTTCAGTGTGCTGTAACTGAACAAGACCTCAAAATAAGCTGACAGCTTTTATAAAGACACCATGGCTTGACCTTTACTTCCTATTCAAGATCTGAGGACCTCACTAAACCTCCAACTGGATGAAGTAATGTACAGTTGAAGTCAAAATTATTATCCCTCCAGTGATTTTTTTTTTATATTTCCCAAATTATGTTTAGCAGATCAAGGAATTTTTCAAAGTATTTCCTATAATATTTATTTTCTGGATAAAGTCTTATTGGTTTTATTTCAGCTAGAATAAAAGCATTTTTGGGCCATTTTGACATTGACATTATTAGCCCTCTTAAGCAATATTTTTTTTTTCATAGTCTACAGAACAAACCACTGTTATACAATGACTTGCCTAATTACCCTAACTACCCTAATTAACCTAGTTAAGCCTTTAAATGTCACTTTAAGCTGTATAGAAGTAAAAAAATTAAGTCAAATATTATTTACTGTCATCATGGCAAAGATAAAATAAATCAGTTATTAAAAATGAGTTATTAAAACTATTATGTTTAGAAATGTGTTGAAAAAATCCTCTCTATGTTAAAGAGAAATTTAGGAAAATATACAGGGGGGCTAATAATTCAGACTTCAACTGTGTATATTTTAAAAAAATAAAATGCTTGAATGAAAAAAGGAAAAAATTTTCTGAAAACTTTTGCCAAATGGGACATAATATGTCCGATTTAATAGAATACCACATACATTTCAAGTGTCTCCAAAAAGTGTATGTGATATTTCCTCTGATAAACCCACAGATCATATAACAGAACTAATAGCCCAGTTTTTGTGTGTGTCCTTTTAATGCAAATAAGCTGCTCCTTTCCAGAAGAGGGCAGAGCCTTTACATGCTATGTATAGAAATAACAAAAACAAGTCTTAAACAGTCAAAATGACAAAAGTGAAAAGTAGCAGATTAAATTCTTACATGCAAATAGTAACCAGAGACGGGGAAGACAAACTTCTAGACTGGACCAGGATGTTTCTAGATGGTTAGTGAATACATTTATGTAGTTCTGGTGTTTTGCACTTTGCTAATAAAGGTCTTTGAAATAAAAGTGCTTTGAAATGTGCATTTTTTATCCGATGTTCGATGTAATGTTAATCAAAACATGAGGAAAACATGCTGTATGGCTAATTAGGCTAACGTTCCCATTGACTGTATTTAAAGACCAGAGCATGTTATTGTTGTATCCAAAAATTGCTCACTCTCAGCATCATTCATAAATGCAAAGTTGTTATGCAATTTATAGATGGGTGACAGACATTTTATGTCTTCTTTAAACATAAGAGAATTGCAATTTTTGGATACAACAATAACATGCTCTGGTCTTTCTAAATACAGTCAATGGGAACATTAGCCTAATTAGCCATGCAGCATGTTAACAAGAACATTACCAAGAAAATTAGAAAAACTCACAAATTATGAAGTGACACACTTGTTTTAGCTATGAAGTTAGAGCTAAAACTATTTATATTAAATGATCCTTCAGAAACAACATTGAACTGAACATCACAGTGCGGCATAAAATATATTTTTATTTTATTTTATTTTATTGATGATGTGGAGATCATGATGGACAGAGGCCAGTGGGCAGAATTGGCCAGGATGCCGGGGTTAAGCCCCTACTCTTTTTGAAGGACATCCTGGGAGTCAAGACCTCTGTTTAACGTCTCATCCGAAAGACGGCACTCAGAGAACATATAGAATACCATAACTATACTGGGGCATTAGGACCCACACAGACCACAGGTTGGGCGCCCCCTGTTGGCCTCACTAACACCACTTCCGGCAGCAACCTAGCTTTCCCATGTGGTCTCCCATCCAGGCACTGACCGGGCGAAGCCCTGCTTAGCGTCAGTGGACGACCATGTGAGAGTTGCAGAGAGCTAGCCGCCGGCCAGTTTACCAACATTTTTAAACTAGATTGTTATCGTAATTATACCCAAATGCTCTTTTTAAGTCAGCAGCATACATCATAGTGTACTGTATGTTAACTTTTCACTTTCAAGACTCGTACAAAATAGCAAAGGAACATGTAGGAATCCTACAGGGAACATGCAGGAATCCTGCAGGAATCCTACAGGAATCTTACAAGGAGGACCTGATGTGTCGGTCTTCATTCTGCAAGAACAATAGCCTAGATGTACATTATAACTTACATTTTATATAGGTTGCTGCTTCCATAATCAAAACCAAGCATCATTTTGATGAATAATGCTGAATAATGATCAATAAACACACTTGTCCTATCTCTCAAATGTAAACAAACAGCATACTCCAGACTGCTGTGAAAGTGTTCATATCTGTTTGCAGATGCTGTTTTAAAGGTAATAATGTTGCAAATAATGTTCAGTTCCACTCAGTTGCTTCACTTCATAAAACCTCAGTGTATTCCCAGGAGTAACAGGTATTCATTTTGTTCTGCCTGTATGTTTCATACACTATATGTTTCTTCTCCACCCATATTTTCAATCAGAAATGGGGTGCTTTTTACAGTATTTGGAGAGCATGTAAGAAAAGAATTGAAGGGTTGTCGTTTTGGCTGTCTGTTGTATTACTTTATATTTAATATTTATGTTATAATTGTTGCTTTATTATTTTTTTTATTATAATTTATTTACATTAGTTTCATGAATGTTGATTTTGCATTGTGAGTTTAATGTTGTGTGGGTATATAAGTAAAAAAAAAGTTTAATGACAAAAAATTATTATATGTTTCTTAAAAACTAGCAGATGAATACTTGCATTTTATAAATCACCAAGGAACACGTTTCGGTAGAAATTTTCTCTACTTAAAGGTCATGTGAAGTGATTTGAAATATGCATTTTTATTCAATGTTTGACGTAGTCTCAACTGAAACAAGAAGAGAGGGTGGGACATGGTGTAGCTCCTCCCCTTTAAAAAAAACAGCCAATAGTGTTTTGTTTTTTCACCACTCTGCCAGTGGGAGTTGTTGAGCTCAAGCGAATCAAATGAAAAGCAAATGAGAAGGGTCTTGAAGGGGGCGGGGCATGTCAGATACTAGAGAGCATTTGATTGGTTATGATGTGATGAGAAACTATTATGAGGTGACGTGAATAAAACTGTTAATCTATTAGGGCGGAAGCAACAAAGAGGCTTTACATGTTTGTACCAGTTTTCTAAATGCACATTCAGTCACTGTTTTGGGACACACTAGCTTATAGATATCCTAAAAACAAATAATACTGATACTAACATCTAGAAAATATATATTTTTATTTCATGGGACCTTCAATGCTCTACTGAAGCATGTCATTAAATTATCAGCTATTAGGAAAAGACATTCTGAGATTAGTTATTACTGAAACTCCATTCCTTCCCTTTAAATTATTGTGCTTTATGTTCGCTTAGAAATATTTACAGAATAATAAAACTCAATAAAAAAACACCCATAAAAAATTCAGATCAGGTCAGATTTTTTTATTAGTCTTAAAAGCCTTCAGCACTAAAGCCTACTTGGGATTTTCAGCGTATTCCAATTAGAAGCAATCAGAGAGAATGAGATCTGTTTTACATGGGCAATCACTTATAATATGAGTAAATACATGTTTACAAAAGCTTCCCCCCAGCGATTCCATCAAAAACTCCTTGATGGATGTCTATTAATAAGGTGTTTGGCATTCACCTCACGCTTTGTTTGAGTCCTATTGCCACAGCGCAGCTTTGTTTGGAGTTCATGAGAGCTGGATGTGACTCACGTTGTGTATGATTATTTCTCCACAAAGGCACTGAAGTGTGAACGAGAGCATCTTGAGTGTGTGTCCGTGTGTTTGCATCAAGCGAGATGTGAACGCTTTAAAAGCATCTGTGCCAACAGTGGGAAAGGGTGAGCGCTGGTTTACGCAGCGCAGAAATAGCCTTACATGACAAGAGTGAATGGCAGATTCAGACAGGGTTGATTCAGCTGGCATATAATGGCACCGCTCATCCTGTGGTAAAGAAAGGGTAATGATGATCGTTTCCTGAAAAGATTGTGACCTTTTGAGGCTCTCTTGAGTGTCTGAGAGGAATATGAATTCATCCTGTAGGCTGTGTGAACGAGCAGACATCTGATTGGCTTTTCGTAGTCATGAGAGCGAAGTAAAAAAGAGGTTTTAATCAGGCTGAAATGATGAAGGAAAAGCCTAATATAGATGCGCAGACAGTCGGACATCCATTACAGGTAGCCGGAGAAACACTCTGCATGGGGGTCTGACTTAGGATATAAACTGGCTGTCTGGAATGCACAGTTTTGATTGGTCAGTCATTTCACTGAGAGTTCACACCAAAGCGGCTAAACACATCTGTGACAAAAGCAAATATTGGTTCACATTCAGTGCTGGACAGTAATGGACTACATGTAATCTAGATTATGTAATTAGCAGTGATGGAATAACAGCGATGTAAATAAATGGCATTACTAATGACGATACTTTTTTGAGTATAGTAATAAAATGAGATACTGTTTCCCCTCGTTACAACACTGTTGCCATTACTGACAATATTAAATGCACGTTACTATAATTGAGAAACGGTTTTCATTCGAGCAGCGTCTCTCTCAGCCATAGGACATATAGGACAGAAAAATGTCTCTTGAGCTAAAACACAAAATGGTAGAAAATTTGCTTATGGTTTTAAAGGTTTAACAATAAGTTGAACAACAATTAACCAGTGGTGTAAAGTAACTAATTACAAATACTCAAATTACTGTAATTAATTACTTTTTGTCAGGAATTGTAATTTACTGAGTTTTAAACATGTGAACTTTTACTCTTACTTGAGTCCATTTTAAGTGCTGTATCTGTACTTTTACTCCACTACTTTCCTTCTACCTGCAGTCACTACTTTTTTTCTTGTCTATGCGATTAACAAAATCAGTCCTGTGATTCCTGTTTAATCAAATCACACATAGAAGGTAAACAGCATCAT